CAAAGGGTATATTGGTAATTGGATTAGGAGGTTTAGTTATAAATAGAGGGAGGGAGAAAGGGTGAAGGTAGGCAATTGGTAGTATGGTTTAGGCTTGAGTAAGAATACTCAAGAGAGGGGGGGTCCAAGTACCTCGAATTACTTAGTAGTTATTTTAGTTTCTATATCTTTTATGTTTCAATATATTGTTAGTGTTCGGGTTCTATCAGTCTGCTGGGGTAGATCAATTTAGTCCTTCAATTTAAGATCATTAAGATCTCTTCAACCATTCCACCATGTCTTTGGTCTTCCTTTCCTTGGGGTGACCATAGAGTCTATGTATGATTTCTTTCAATATTGACTCCATTTGTCCTGCCAAAAAACATTATTATGAGAAAATGAGCTATAAGTATAACCAATATCGAAGTATTTTACGTTTCTCTATAATGGGAAATTACAATATATAAACTGAATAAGACACGAGGTGAGTGGAAGCTGAAGTTTTTAGTTTCAAGGCGGTCTTTATAGATTTGTGATGTCAAACATGCAGAAGAATTTTTTTTAGCTCCTGCCTTCTAGACTTTATTTATTTAGTGTTGACGACTCTGAATCTTACTTCCGCAGGGCTTCGATGAATATATGAATTTGGTTCTCGATGATGCAGAGGAAGTCAACGTAAAGAAGAAGAGCAGGAAGACTTTAGGTTTGTGTTCTGATTGTTATCCATTATTCACATGGGCCATGGCCAATACTTTGTCGAATTAAGGAGAGACTAAAACTAAAAGGTTGTTTCCACTTGTCAGGGAGGATACTCCTTAAAGGAGACAACATAACTCTGATGATGAACACGTAAGTCATTTGGAAGTTGTCTCTTTCAAATTAATGAATACATAACTGCTCTCTCTATGCAAAATTGCAGGGGAAAGTGATGGTCATTTTTGCACCCTTTTAAGAGGTATTGAAGTCGGCCCTTTCACGGCGTAACATAGAATGTTCATTTTAGTGTGAATTGTTGATGTGTTTATTGTAGTGACGTTAAAAGATGTAGTTTATATGAGAGATACTAGACACTGCACTCAACTCATCCAGCTCTCTACTTGTTGCTTTGCTTTGCTATGATACATGCTAGGTTTGAATATCAAATTTCAGTTGGATTTGCTTGGAATTGCTCAAAATTTGGGTGTTACAGAAAGAATGTAGCCCTGTTTACTAGGGAATGAGAATCAATTTTTTCATTCCCTTTATCAGGTTGTAGGAATCGAAAGAAATGATGAGACTTATCTCAAACTTTGCAATCACATTTCTTTAAAAGGTTGTAATCTCATTCTTCTCCTTGTTCTGTAGACCTCACATATTATAATTACTTTGTAACTTTTACTTTTTTTTCTCCATTATTATTTTTTTCATTTATACTAATTATTTTTCTTCTGTGGATGTGATTTTATTATAAAATATTATAAATTTGTATTTAATTTTTTAATTTTACTTTGTTATTATTAATTAATATCAATAGATTTTTTTAAAATATAATTCATTATTATTAAATATTAGAATAATAAAATTTAGTAATATTTTACCTTAAATGATGGTCGTTTTAATTAAAAAAAGTGTTTTAGTTGATGTAATTTAATTTTAATGGTTCATTATTTATTAATATTAAATAAATTGTTGTAATAAAAAAGTATATTTACTAACAAGAATATAGTAATAAAATAAATTAAAATTTATTATTATTATTATTATAATTTTAAAAAGATTAGAACAATAATATATTTGTAATTAGTTAAAAGTAAGAAAGATGTATACTAATAATTGTTATATATATGGTTTTTGATTTTGATTTCAGACAATTTTAGTAAACATAAAAAGGATTTTGATTTTGGTTTTAGAGAATTTTTGGTAAACAATTAAATAAATAACATTACATATTCCATTTCGATTGATTTTTGAATGTGTTATGAATATGAATTGGGATAATTAACTATGAGATAGGCGTGTGACCTGGATCTGGAGAATTTCTATATGGTCTGTGCTAGAAAATGATTAATATTTTTCTACGGATCGAACTGCTTACAAGTCAAATGAGAATCAAAGACCACGTAAAGAATATATGGATGGAGTTATAAGAGATGAAGTATCTCTTGTTTTTCATTCCCATTTACATMAGAATGAATACTATGATTCGCATTTCGAACCGGTATGCTATGAAGATGCGATGTGTTCAATGCAGTAATTGGAAGGCAGACAGAGCAAACTTCATGGCGATGCCATATATTACCTGATGGTGTACCGAGTTCGAGTTGCTTGTTGGTCACAACATATTAAGGCTACAAACTTTGTAATACTTGCAATTGAGTAAAACGTCAGTCTGTGGGAAGTGAAAAGCATTTTTCATAGTTTGCACTCTAACTGGAGTTTAATACGGTACATTGGTAGTTCAATTCTACGAAATTATTTTAAAATTATCATTAATATGAGCTATTCACTACACTCCACTTAATTGATTCAACCTACATAGTTTAAGAGTATAAATTAATTTTTGTGCATAATTTAATTTGAATGAGAAGCACAATAAATAGTATAATTTAAATAAAATACAGAAAAAACTAAAACACAAGAAAATCAGTACTAGGTCACCAATTTGAGTTAATCAGTCCACGAGTTTTATAGCTATTAATATTTAAAAATATTTATTCAATTAAAGAAAACTATATTTATAATTATTTTAAAGAATATTGTAATTCCAAATTTCGAATTACTTGCTATAAAAAAGTATATTTTAAAATAGGATAAAATACTTTTAATCACCATAAGTGTTTATTTGATTCTCAAACTTCAAAAAGTGAAAATTTAATCCCAACCTTTAGAAAATAATTCTAAATTGAAACTTGAGAACCAAAGATGGGAGAAGGGAAGAGAATTGGAGAAGAATAGGAGGAACGGTAAAAATTGGAGAAGCGAGGAAGAGAGAGAAAGAGAAGGGATGAGAGAGGAGAAGAGAAAAAAAAATACACATAAATAAAAATAATATAAAATTATTTAACCTTCGCACATCATTTAAAATTTTCAAACTCAATTATTCCAAAGTCAGAAATCAAACTAGGAGGGACTTGTGTATTTTACCCTTTAAAATATCAACCACAAAAAAACATTTTAAATATAAATATCTCTTTATTTTAATGACAAATATTTCTTTATTTTAAGAAGGAACATTAAAAAGCCTATGATATTAAATGTTAGGTTAAAATATCATGTACTTAACAGAAATGTATATTTTGGTTACTCTACTTCTAAATTTGGACAAAAAATGACAATTTCAATCCCTATTGAAAAGTTTAACACCAATTCTATACCTAACAAAAACCTTTTAGCAATTGTTACATTAAAAAGTATATTGAGTGTAACGCCATTTTAAAATTGTGATAGAAAAATGAAATTAAAAAGAACAAAAAATTGTCACTTTTTCAAATTACGGAGACCAAAATCACCATTTTGAAAGTACAAAGACTAAAAGAACCAAAATTAAAAGTCAAAGTAAACATTTTGAGAGTACAAAGACCAAAATGAACCAAAACTTATAAGTATCAAAACAATATTTCAACCTAAATACTAATACTATTGTAAATAAACATACAATGTGCATTCCTATGGAAGAGTTAATCTTTCTCCTAAATTTAGGAAAATGGGTGCTATAAACATAAAAAGTGATTTTGAGAATAGTTTTCCAAACTAGTCCTCTCTTATTCACTAGGTTAGGCCCCTGCCAACTTTAAGCCATGGTATCATAAACAATAAATCAGGCTTAAAAAGAACCAACAAATCCATTCTCAGGCTGTCTCAAAAAAAAAAGGAAAAAATTTCCATTCTCAGTTTTCTTGAACAGAGTTCGAATAACAAGAAGCTAGAAGGAAATAATAAAATAAAATACATAAAAGAAACGTCCTGAACATTTAAAAACAAAAACAGATGGCCAGAAACTATTATTCAACTCAGGAACACCGCGGTAGGATCCTTGAAATAATGGATCCTACAGACTCAGAGATCCCAGAAGTTGTGTTCTTACCTCACAAAAAGGAAGCTAATTTCTTCAAAATGAAAAGATCAAGTCTCAGTGGTTAGATTATGCAACAGGAGGGGAGGGTCTGCAATCAAAGATTAGTAATGAATCACAAAGCCAGCAAAAATGTATATAAGAACCAAAAGGGTGGATGGGAGTGAGAGTGAGTGCGAGAGTTCCCAAGTCTTTCAGTTTCTGGATTCAGCATGCGCAGCCACCCCTTTGCTCGGTCTCCACGACGGTTTCAGGGATTCCTTGGAAATATCTGCAATTGCATTCAAGAACAGTAAGCAGTTTGTATATGAATCCTCGGTCTGGTTCGAAGTCTTGGAATGGGAAATAAAGAATACATCATCGGTTCACACCAGTAATTGAACACTAGCAAAAATTTCATAGCAACTACAATGACAAAAAATGTTAGAAATCACCTGAAAATGGAAATAAATGATTGAATAGAATAAGTAAAAAGTACTACTGCAAATTAAATAATATATACAGCTCGATCATGTAAAATTATGCGTATTGAAGAAACATTTTCTTAGTGTTCATGCTAGCTTATGCACACATCGACTAATTTCATGGAACAAATGTCTTGTTCTGTAACATTTGGTGTCAAAAAACTCTTACAAGAATGATATATGAGACTATTCAAGTTTTGAAAACTCGAAACCTTAAATCTTCCCTCTGATTTACAAAGAAATCCATCTGGGTGTAGATGTGGTATTTACCTAAATGCCAGCTATATGTGTATGAATGTGAGTGTGTATATATGTATTTACGTTTATAAAATCAAGAGGTTATTTAGAAAAATAATTTGTAAACATTTGGTGGAGAAGAGGCATACTTAAATACCAACTTCATTCTTTTCTTTTCCAGAAAAAATAGCTTATTCTCGAGAACACGCTTTAAAGAATTTTGGTACAAAACCGCAGAACACAAATTTGTGAACAATTTCCCAACTACCCCTATGTTTTAGAACTCATCTTGAGAGCAAAACCATAAATTAATTATCATAACATTATTCCTTTTATTAATTATTCCAGCAAAATTGACAATTCAGAGACTTACATATCCTGCTCATGTTCATTGGCTAATGCAGTCTTGGCAATGCACAAAAAAGCAGCATCGACGTTGTAGTCTTCTTTAGCTGAGGTCTCAAAGTAAGGAATATTTTCTTTTGAAGCACACCATTCCCTAGCTTTCTTCTCAGAGACCTACAGAAATAATAATAATAATAATCAGACAAACATGAAAAGAGAAAGCAAAACTCAGCTTGGCTAGGTCCAGACATCCTTGTTCCTTACCACTCGACTATTCCCACCATCAATGTCAATCTTATTTCCAAGCAATATAAACGGGAACGTCCTAGGGTCAGGTGGGTTTGCCTGAAAGACATAGGATCAAAATACTAATTTAACATTATCCAAAAAGTGCAAGCAATCGAAACTCAAATGAACAAAAGATGCATGTCCAAATAAACACACTCAGACTTGCATGTACTAAACCCATGCAGATAGCCTAGAGTGCATGCATGCACTAGTATCTTTCTTTTATTTCTCTATTGCATCATATATGCCTTCAGAATTTTTTTATGGGTATAAATCTGCATTCTGAGATAAACTGTTCTTTAATCTAACTATACCAGTATTTTGATTACAATCCTTAAAAACCTCAAATCATTACCCCCACAACACAAAACACTAAATAAAAAATTTCAGAGTAACCCAATTAAAACAACATTTGAAGTCAGGAGAAGAAAAAATATAAAGGGGCAGGGTATAATGTGAGGATTAGCCTCACTTTTGGTATTAAAACGTAGAATCAAATGCCCGTGGGCAGTACAAAGCTGACCCACCTATTCGAGAGGGTGGGTATTCTCTCCCTAACCTTTTCACAGCACTCAAAACTAGGATGATCTCCTCCTACCTTTTCCTACCCTTTTCTACTACACGTTGCCCTATTACACGATTTAGGTCCCACCAGCTATGGGTCCCACTACCCCAAACCGTTAGCCTCTTTATTCCCCCATCATTCTATTGTACCTAGTACAATTCCCTTTCTACCCTTCCTATGATAAGTCTTCACAATGGGAGGCCTAACAACTACCTCCCCCGTAAGCTCCACCTTGTCCTCAAGGGGGAAATCTGGAAACTG